GATGTTTGATATTCAGACAGATAGTGAGGCTAGGCTCAATTGCTTATGATGTAGGGTAATAATAATGAGCTTCTCTTCTGGAGGGTTAACAACCTAAGTTTGCAGACCAAAAAAGAGAGAAAAAGAGGGGCTGCAAGGACAGCAAACATTTTGGCCCTACCCTTTCAAAGTCAGTGAAGATTCCGGACATAGGAGATCCTATACCATAACACCATTTAACTCAGTTGTGTCCCAAATTTTCTGATTAAGGAGATTATGGGGCCACAGAGGAAAGTGATTGATGATGTAGTGTGCCTAAGGAGAATCACATGGAGAGAAAACATTCTCTCAGGCTTTCACAGAGAGCAAATTGGTCGAGCAATAGCCATGACTCATCCACATGGCTGACACTGACAAAGGATCTACAAACTGCAATACAGGGTTTCAGGGTAAATCCTAAGGGGACTTGACTGACCTTATCAGATATGAAAGCTACATTTCTTGCTATGTAGGTCTTGCTTTATCTTGGTCTTAACCATCCAGCAGAAAAGTATAAAAAAACGAGGTATATAAAGTAAAGCCATATTAATATGATGAGCTGTAAGAGGCTCGTCAATAACTTCTGAGAATAACCCACTAATATTATAGACTGCTAGACAGTGTTGGATTGTTCAGCTGAATTCAAACACCTTAGCATTTAGATGCCAACAGAATATTAACCTCTGATAGGACTAAACAAAAAAAAGGGAATACAAAGGAAAGATCATTTTGTATTTATATACACAAAATAGTTAGGATCGTTATACAGCTACTTTTGCTTAATTCAATGAGAAGAAAGGTGTGCTAATAGTGTTTGGACAGGATATCCTGTCTGCTTCTTGTACTATAAATAACCATTAAAAAGATAACAATGTACAATGTATTGATTATCGAAACTGTCCTATTATTCAGCTTTGAAACTGTCTCATTCATATTTATTTCTCAATAAAATAAAAAAATAAAATAAATAAAATAAAATAAAAAGAAATACAAAAACAAAGTATAAAAAGTAAATCCATATTAATATGCTGAGCTGTAAAAGGCTCAAGTCAACAACTTCTGACATTGCCAGTGTTACAGAAAATCCACTAATATTATGGACTACTAGACTATATTGAAATATTTTGCTAAATTCACGCACCTACAACATTTAAATGACAATGGAATGCCCTTCGCTGATAAAACTAACTAAAAAAGAGAGATACAAATGAACGACCATTTTGTATCTGTATAATCAAAATAGTTATGATAGATACACAGCTGCATTCTCTTAATTCAATGAATAAAGAGGTTTGTTCTAATAGTGCTTGTGGACAGGATATCATGTCTGCATCTTATACAATGAATAACCACTAAGACAACAATATGCAATGTATTAATTATTGAAACTGCTAGTAATCTGTTTTGAAACTGTCTCATTGCTATGTTTCTCAACAAAATTATTTTTTAAAAAAAGATTATCGATGTCTATAGATATATGCACTCCAGTTGACAAGATCATGAATATCCATAAAAATGGCTCTAAGAACTCACTTAAGAAAAGCACCTATAACTAGGAAAAATAAATATATGTTACTCACTATAGTATTCCTAAGAACAAGGAAATCAAACACCATCCTTACATCTACCAATAATAGGGACCCATTTGAAAAAATTAGGGTACATCCCCCAGTGAAAATTATACAATGTCAAGCACTCAGGAAGCTAAGGCAGGAGGACTGCTATAAATTCAAGGTCAGCCTGGGCTACAAAGTGAGTTCAAGGCCAGCCTGAACTACATAGTGAAACTGTTTCAAAAAGATGAAAGAAGGAAAGAGAAAGAAAGAAAGTTATCCAACTACATAAAAGTATGAAGACATCAAGACAACTATAGAAAAATCTATGTAGGATGATATCATTTGTGCAAGAGATGGTGAAGTTGGTTTTCACTTTTCCCAGATTCTCAACACTGGTCGAAAGCTCCTTTAAACCTTTCCTTCTTAGAAAATAACAAATACTCCATACCCAGCCTTTTGGAATAGCATGATTAGAAAGACTTTAGACACTGAAAACCCCTCCTAAGGCAAACTCCAGCTCTATGGCAACAACAAAAAGAGACTAGGACAGAAAAGGTCTGTCTGTGTAATAAAGCACTGGTGGGAAAGTTCCACGTTTATGTAAATGTTCATGCAAAGTCCAAATTTTATTTTTTAATCATTTATTTGTTTGATACAGGGTCTCGCCATGCAGCTTGGACTAGTAGTGATCCTCCTATCTCAGCCTCCCTAACGCTGGGATTACAGGCATGTGCCACCACTCCCCATTTAAGGGCCGGCGCGACATGCCTGGAGTTCAGGGACCGCAGGGCATGCAGTACCAGGCATCAAACCTGGGTCCTTGGGCTTGCCAGGCAGGTGCTTAGACCACCAAGCTACCTCCCCAGCCCACAAAATCCAAATTTTAAAAAAGTAAATTACTAAAAGACTACTTTAATATCAAAAAAAAAATATTTAAAAAGTCCTTCCTTTAGGGATTTTACAATTAGTCCAGAAGCTCTGATGCAGGAGTCAACTGACTGATCTCAGAGGAGCTAACACTTGACTCAGAATGTGGAAGGGGAAACAGGTTGCCAGAGGGCATTTTTCTTGGAGAATATATCTGGAAGATCAAAGATACTTTGGGCAAGGTGGGGTCATCACGTGGAATGTTGCGGGCTTGAAGTTTCAAAATCTTTACCAAGACAGTTCCCCTCCCACTCGGGCATCGGACTGTGAAGATCACTAGTCCTTGTGAATGGCTTTATACAAACAGCACACTCTGTCCTTAAATGACTATAAAGTGCTTCCCTCCAGGGGTTCTGATTCAACTGAACCTTAGTGAAACAGATTTAAGTTCTTGAGAGAATTTTTCCTAATAGCCTACAGGATGATCATAGAGACAAAAATTTGAAAAAGGTACTACTAATCTTCATAGTAACATGTGTGAAAGCAAAAGCAGGATAAAGTTATTCTAGTTATTTTTAGTTTTTTACCTTACAAAGAAACATTTCTGACCAGTAAGTTTATTTTTATTTTTTATTTATTTTTTTGGTGGAACCAGGGATTGAACTCAGGCCCGTGCGCTTGCCAGGGAAGTGCTTATTCCACTGAGCCAGACCCCAGTAAGTTTAAAATCTGATTTATTAAGGTGTACTAACATACAAGAAAATTCGCTAACTTGAAGTATATGGTTCAATGCGTTTTGACAAATGCATGTCATCATGCACCGTCACAAGAGCAGGTGAATTTTCATCTTCTCTAGAACTCTAAAATACTACAAATCAGGAAAAGTAGTTTCATTTATAGGCTTTGGATTTTTTTTTTTTTTTAAATGTATTTTATCACAGGGTCTACAGGGTCTCATACACAGATCGGACTCATAGTGATCCTCCTGTTTTCAGCCTCCCAAGCACTGGGATTAGAGACAGGTGCCACCAAGCCCTGTCTCTGCCACCATCTCAGTGTGCCTCAGGGGTGGGGCCAGCACAGCACACTGGAGATTGAACCCCAGTTGCCACACGTGACTAAGCAGGTGCTTTAGTCTACTGAGCCAGCCCTACACTTTGGATTTCTGAAGTTACCTTCTAAGGCTTGGAAATTGTAACACAGACTTCTAAAAACATACTCAAGGGGGGCCGGGGAGATGGTTCAGTGGAATAAGCGCTTCCCTGGAAAGCGCAAGGAGCTGAGTTCAATCCCTGGTTCCGCAAAAAAAGAAAAATTAAAAAAATAAAATAAAAACATACTCAATACCTGCTATCATTCATCTTTTGGGGGGAAAGGGAGCTGAGACAAGGCCTCTTTATGTAGCCCAGAATGGCCTCAAACAGCGATCCTCCTGTCTTGGCCTCCAGAGTGCTGGGATTATAGGCGTGCAACCCTGTGCCAAGCACCATCACTCATCTTATATAAAAATTGCAGGTTTTATATTACTAAAGTATGAAAGTCTTAAGCACACAGTACATACCTACTCTTTTCTCTAAGAGGTTTCCTTGTTGGGCCAGCTTGATTGCATGTATATAGCCAAAGGAAGCATCATAGCCAAGCATTTCACAATATAAAAGTCTCACCATACATTCCTTCATTGTTTTCTGGAAAACAAAATGCCCAGTCATTATCGAAGCAAATAGAATGTTCTAATTTTGTGTGTGTGTGTGTGTGTGTTGTGATTTATCAGAACACTTTAATTCTATCACTAAAGAAAAAATATACATATTATAAATTAGTCACATAATAATAGACTATATAAGTAAAAGTAGCTTCTTTTAATTACCAGTAGCATTAATTTTAATGAAATTATTTGAAACATTTTTATGCTGGTGAAAATAAGTGCTCTGTACCTATTTCTAATGCTATGTGCCCATAGTATAAAATTGGTTATAACATGAAACATGCGGTCTGCATGCAAAATGTCACCCACAAGAATCTTATTTGGCATCTAAAATTACATAATTCAAGTGAAAAATACTTTATTAAAGGATAACATAAAATTTTCACAGGTTAGCAATAATTTTTGGAATGCAAATATTTTTCACATTTAAAAATGAGGTTGCAAGCTGAGCAAGTACCTGTAGTCTCGGCACTTGGCAGGCACAGGCAGGCGGCCTGTGTGAGCCCCGGAGTTTAAGAACAGCCTGAACCACACAGCGAGACCCCGTGTCAAACAAAGAAACAAACATGAAGAAATAAAATGGAACCTAGACTTTCTTTTTTTTTAAGTTTATTTTTTATTTTTTAATTAATTTTATTGAGAAAGATCTCCATCAAGTTTTTGAAACTAGCAGTTAATTGGTAGGATTCTTACCCTGACTAACTATATATGCTGATACCTGCGAACTAAGCAACTGCACCAAGGATAGCAATATATAATACTGATACAGGGAGAAAAACTGATCTTTGGTGGGTGACCTCCAAATGACACAAGGAACCTCCAAATGACGTAGGGAAAAATGATCTCTGACCTGACCTGCACGAGTTCGTGTTCTCTAAAACCGAAAAATGAATTTTAGGGACAAACGAGGTTATGAGCAGAATATATTTATTGAGGAAAAGAAAGCTCCTGTCCAAGAGAGGGAGAGGAGGGCCCGAGTGGGTTGTCCCCGGGAAGCTGTCTCTTCCAGGGACCTAGACTTTCTTCAGACATGTTATGCTACACAAATGTAACTGTCTGCTTTACAGATACTTTTTTTAATAAACTTGTTTTAAAATGAACTAGCGAGCCTTCACTACTCACAGAAAAACTGCACAACTGCACCTTCTCTCTCTCCTTTTCTCTTGTTTCTGGGATATTAGGGGTTGGATCCAGGCCTCGCTAATGCTAGGCAAGCCCCCTATCACTGAGTGACACCTCTAGCCAATCTCTCTCTCTTCTTTTTTATTCTTCTTCTTCTTTTTTAAGGTAAGAGTCTCACTATGCAGTTCAGGGGCTTGATTTGAACTCACTATGTAGCCCAGGCTGGCTTCAAGCTCACAGCGATCCTGTGGAGTGCTGGGAGTACTGGCACGTACCACTGCACCCAGCTTAAGTACTCTTTATGTAACACAATTATTATGGACTCGGGCTTAATTTCATTAAAAGGATAGTTATCCCAGTGATATTTAATATTTAGGGGGATCTTTCAATATATGTAAGACTAAAACTGTTTAAATGATAAATATCTGTTTTATTAGGACAGTAATATTTGTATTCTTAATATTTATATAGAATTTTAGTCAAAAGTAAAAATGCTTCAGAGAGAAAAGCTCAGATTTATAATATCTAAAAGTAATTACCATATTACTGGATTATTAAATCACACCATGCTTACAGTATATAGTATATAAACATGTTATGATTCAGTAGGAGCAGTAAAATCAAATATAATATCCTAAAGAATAATGTTTAATGCTGTGCTGCACGTGTGTGCATGCGTGTAAAGAAGAGTTTAAAAACACCATAGGGAACTCACAGGGGAATGAAATTCAACTGAGGTCACTCATGTTTAAAGCAACAAAAGTTAATTAACACATTAATTAATTAAGATTATGAAATCCTGGAACTGGGGAGGTAGTTCAGAGTACTTGGTTAGCTTGTGCGAGGCCCTGAGTTCAATTCCTAGCCCCACCAAAACAGACTACTAAATACCAATTAAGACTGTGTCCCTCTTCAAAAACTTCTGTGTTAATTAGAAAGGTAAGGGTCAATTTAAGCCATTAAGTTTCGATCTTGGGATATACAACACTAGCTCAGAGAACTCCAAAAGTCATTATGAGCTTTAAGTAAAATTACCACATACATTATCATTCTTTCAGACAAAAAGTGTACTCCTCAGTGTAGTAATTCTCCTTACACTTTCTCTAACAGTTTTTCTACCATTATTCAGTCACCTTAGCCAACTCTAAGAGGGTTGCCCAGAGATAGAGGGCCACGACTACAAGGCGATCGTGCTCCCAAGCCCTGGCTCCCCAGCTGCGACCTATTCATCTTAGCTCCACCCCACGCCAGGCTTTCGCCTTGTGGTAAGGCAGCTGCAGGGCGGAGGTGTAGTTCAGCAGCAGAGCGTCTGCTTAGCATGCCGAAGGCCCTAGTCCCCAGCACTGGAAAAAAAGAACATGTGTATATAGTGATATCAATTACAGAAAATGGAAATCTAATGAAATTTTATAGATACCTACAATTATATACAGCAACATACACAGAGATTAACGGCTTGAATTTTGTTGGTCCACATATTACGACTGTTCCCTCTTCAGAAACTATTTGCCAAGTGTGCTGGTGCACACCTGCAATCCCATCATTCTCATAGGCTGAGCAGAGGCGAGGCGGGCCTAAGAGCCCACACAGGCATCTCCCAACATAAATAATAAGGAAAGGAAATCATTTCTGGATTGGGGAGAGAGCTCAGCAGCATAAGCGCCTGCCTGGCAAGCGCAAGGTACTGAGTTCAATCCTTGGTATCAAAAAACTCCCAAACATTTCTCTTTACCACTTCTATCAATTACATGAAAAATGAAAATTTTATACAGATACCTAAAATTATATACACCAACATACACATACTAACATATACAGAGATATTGGATTGATGTCTTGATTTTTGTTGGTCCACATATTATGACCATAAAATAAAATAAATACATTCCTTAGACTTTACAAATACTCATCTTCCTGATCATGTACTCCTGTAAAAACAGCGCCTTGACATTCTTATTGGGGGCGGGGCGAACACTTCACAGTGACACAAAAATACGCCTATTAAATGCTGGTTGGGAAAAACCTCGTTAAGAAAAAGGATGCCAGGTATGGTGGTGCTCTGTAATCCCAGCAACTCAGGAGCAGCATGGGCAATTCAGCAAGCCCTTGTTTTAAATCAAATAAGAAGCTGACAAGACAGCTCAGCTGACTAAATGCCCGCTTAGGCAAGCCCAGGTACTAGGGTTCAAGTCCAGCACCATATGCCGTGCGAGCCCCAACCTCAGGTATGCTGAGCTGGTCACGGACACCAGGAGTGGGGCCGCACGCCTTTAAGTCCAGCACTGGAGAGGCTGAAGACAGGAGGATTACTACGAGTCCAAGCTGCACAGTGAGACCCTGCACCAAATACAGTTTTAAAAAAAAAATCAAGAAGGGCTGGGACTGTGATCCACAGCTCTCCAGATCCAACTTCCAAAACCCCCGAAAACAAAAGGGTATTGTATATTGTTTACATAGATCAAGCTATTACATTATGCTCAATAAAAATCTATAATGGTTCAAAGTGAAAAATAACAAAAACCCAGGTCTTAATCTAACTATATGAGCACAGTGCTCGCTTCGGCAGCACATATACTAACTATATGAGGACAGACTCCCAGGAGCTGCAAATAGCGGCTATTCATTAGTAGCTGCTGAATGAATACTGTTTAAAAATCAAATTCTTCTTTTTTTTTTTTTTTTTTTTTGCATTTTAGTACAGGGTCTCATGTAGATGGGACTCGCAGTGATCCACCTGTGTTCAGCCTCTCAAGGGCTGGGATTACAGGCACGCACCACCACATCCAGTCTCAACTGCCACCTCAGCATGCTCCAAGGGCGGGGCTGGCATGGCATGGCCAGGGATCGAACCCCAGCAGCGGCATCTGCCTAAGCAAGCACTTTAGCCTGTTGAGCTATTTAGCTGGCTCTTTAAAAAATCAAATTCTAAAGCATGAGATCATGAGTTTGATTCCTGGTACGAAAAGAAAAAGAAAAATCTAATTCCATCTAACCAAGTTCAAAAACATGTAATTGGCTCTTGATATAACTGCTATGCAATAGTTTCAGAGCAAGAAACAATTATTCTACCTGTTAGTGACCCCAAAAGGCAGGGGATGTAGCTCAGTTGTAGAGTGTAAATTTGGCTTTCCTTAAGCCCTCAGTCCCAACACTCCCAGCCCCCCCAAAAAAAATCTGTATCAATTTTGGAAAGAAAATATTGTGTTAAATGGCACATCTTAACCTTTCAGAGTATACAACATTAAAACAAGAAGATGAGTACTGGGGTCCCGGAAGTGTACAACCATACATGTTATTGCCGTCACCTCCGTCCTGACTCTACACGGTCTGATCCGTGTGGTCCACTGCAGCCGCCCAATGATAAAGACCTAAAGTGAGGTATGCTACCACCTACAGCCAACTTCAACTAGAAGAGACCTGAGAAATGATCAGTTAGCTGCCACTGTCAGCCAGAGGGCCAGATTTCACGTCAAATGTGTAGGCACCAACTGCAAACTTACCAGTGTCGTTGTGGGAGCAGAAACAGTCGCCTTCAGACTGATCAGTTCCTGCTGGATTAATTTTTCTTCTTCCTTAAAAGGTGAACATATTTAAATGCTTGAATAACTGTCTTTTTAAACTATAACAGTATTTTAAAGCTAAAAAATAAAATACTACTTTCAATTATAAAAGAACATTATTCTGGCTGAGTCCTGGTAACACAAGCCTGCAATCCCAGCACTCAGGAGGTTTGTTAGATGTTAGTGAGATGGTTGGTTAAGAACTGCTAGAAGGACTGCCACATTTAAAGTTTCAAACTGCAACGTAAGTAATTCAACCCAGGTCCTCTACCATGGAGATACATCACCAGCTATTTTACTTTTTATTTTATTTCTTCAGTAAAGGCCTCATTAAGTGGCCCTGGCTGGACGATTGATTTGAGTTCAAGGCCAACCTTGAGCTACAAAGTTAGTTCAAGGCCAGCTTGAACTACATGGTGAAATCCTTGTCTCAAAAAGACCCAAAAAAAAGGAGGGGGACATTATTTTGAGAGGTAAATATGTGCTTATGATCTGCATCTCACCAACACTCAGAATCATCCCTAGAGAGAGTGTTCCCAGGCTAACGCACCTTTCCTCTTTTATTCACTCAGGTACTGGCCCCTGGAAAGCCTAACTGGCAGAGAAATGCTTCTAAAAAATTAAAAGTGGGGAAAAATAAATAAATAAAATTTTTTTAAAAAAATTAAAAGTGGGAGGTACAAAGGAAATCTTTGTCTTTTCCCAGGGTAAGAATCTCACAGCTTCCTCTTAGAACTAAAAAATCTTCATGGAATAGAAATAGGGAAAGAAGACATAAACAAGCATTTTCTTTCCTTCTTTTTTTTTTTTTTTCCTGAGCCAGTGTTTTCTACACAGTCCAGGCTGGCTTTAACTCATTATGTAGCCCAGGCAGCCCTTGAATGTGTAATCCTTCTGCCTCCACCTCTTGAGGAGCCGGGATCACGGGTGTGGCCCCCCTTTCTTATTCACTCTCATACACGTAACCCAATGTAGTCCATCTCCAGTATTCCCATTCTATTTTATCTCCCTAAACACTTAAAAAACTGGCCCCATTTTGGGCTAATATATTGCTATCTTTAAATACACACTGAATTAGGTGTTCTGGTTTAGATCTAAATTTTGTTCCCAGCACAGTAGCACAGGTATGTCATCTTAGCACTTTGGAGGCTGAGGCAGGATTGCTGTGAGTTTGAGGCCAGCTTGAACATACATTACAGATATGCACATCTGTAACCCAAGCTACCTGGAAGACTGAGACAGGTGGATCCAGCGTTCCAGGACAGCCAGGGCCACTTAACGAGGCCTGAACTGAAGAAACAAAATAAAAAGTAAAATAGCTGGTGATGCATCTCCATGGTGGAGGACCTAGGTTGAATTACTTATGTTGCAGTTTGAAACTCTGAATGTAGCAGTCCTTCTAGCAGTTCTTAACATACCATCTCACTAACATCTATGTCTCCATCACCTTCCTGGTTGCTGAGACGCCACGCCTGACACTCGTTTGAAGGAGCAGAAGTTTACTGAAGCTCATCGTTTTAGTCCACATCTGGGCATGGAGAAGGGGTTAGTGACCCACCTTACGGCTAGCCCCACCTCCCAAAAGAAGTCAGCTAGAGAGTTCCATGACTCAGGCACCTTCGAAATACATGAGTCTTTGGGAACGTTTTATTTATTATATTATTATTATTATTTTGAAACAAGGTCTTGCCCAAAAACAAACGCTGTTCAGCATCTCATAAAAATGAGCAAAGGACAGAAACACAAACAGCAATAGTACAAAGTCCACACGCAGGACTGTGGAATGTGCAGCAGGCCAACATTCTCCAGTACAGCATCATCCTGCATTAGCTTATTCATTCTAGCCCTTTACCATGCTAGGCCACTTATACTGCCTGCTTGCAAGGCTTTATACTTAGGCCTTTATACAAATAAATGCACGGTCAGTTCTCTGAGAGAACATCGTAAAGTACCTTCCTCAGTGTCTGACACATAACCCTGCCCCATAAGTATGTGCTGAACAAATTATGACACAGTGTTTTTACGACACCACTTCCTCGAGGCTTTGAAACAGCGTCTCACACAGCCCATGCAATTCCAGTCTTGGCACTTAACTTTTGGGGTTCACTCTCAGAGCCCGGCTGGGCATATTCCCCACTTGGGGAGAATTTAAGTTTCTTTTCCTCTGCCCAACCCCGGGGCCCAAGAAGCTCGGGCGCCCCGAGATCCACACGGAGGCTGGGTGGCAGGGTCTGCCCGGGTGTGCGCCTCCGCAGAGGGGAGCCGGGGGAGGGTCAGAGCGGGGAAGCGAGCGCCGCGCTCCGCGACTCCCACGGCTCGGCGCGCCCCGGGCCAGCGGTCGGGACGGTGCCAGACCCGTCCCCGCGGGCGTGGGAGACGCGAGAGGCCAGGCGGGAAGACATCCGCCCGACCGCGGGGAGCGGGGGCCACCAGGGCTCCCGGGCGGGCCGGGC